TAATGAGTTGACTGATGGTTGGCAACCCCTAGATAGGATGGGGACTGGTCAGGGAAAAGCCTATGTCGGGATTTGAGGTCTCTGGAAAGTTTAGCCCCACACCCCAATCTACAAAAAGGGGTGAGGGGGCTAACGGTTAACCTGATCAGCATTGGCCAATTATTTAATCAATCATGCCTATGTAATAAAACCTCCATAAAACCCCATAAAGACAGGGATTGGGGAGCTTCCAAATAGCCAAACACATGGAAGTTCCTGGATGGTGGTGTGCCTGGAGATCATAAAAGCTCTGGGTTCCTTCACCCTTATGCATCTCTTCATCTGTAACCTTTGCAATAAATATTCTTTAAAATAAACTGGAAAATTAAAGTGTCTCCATAACTTTCGTGACTGGCTCTAGCAATTTATTGGAAGCCAAGAAAGGTATCATGGGAACCTGACTTATACTAAGTCAGTCAGAAGCACAGGTAAAGAAAAAACATCCTGGGGCTTGTGATGGGCATTAAAAGAGGTTAGGAGACAGTCTCATGGGACTGAGACTTCACCCTGCAGGATCTGATGTCCAGTGAAGAACTACTTGATGTATGAAGAAAACCATCCACACATACCTAGTTACAGAAGTACTCCGGATTGATTGTCGTGGGGAAGAGCAGAGCACAAGAAACTTGTGGGTTTTTTTCACTCAGAATAGCCGAAACAAACCTCCTGACAGCCTTAGTGAATGTTACATCTGATATCGACTTGCTAATCTCAGTTGATGCAGCTTCCATTGCTACAGCTGCTAAGACCAAAAATCCAGTGGTGTTTTCTGAATTCTCTCAAGCTCTGTTCACATTAAAAAACTGAGTCGCCCCTTTAAAAAACACTAATTCAGAACTAGCCACATTGCCTAAGCCACAATTCTAGACCATTAATCCTCACCTGGTATAGGGCAGTAGCTGCCACTTTGATAGGCCGAGGCGGGTGGATCACGAGGTCAAGAGATCGAGACCATCCTGGCCCACATGGTGAAACCATGTCTCTACTAAAAATACAAAAATCAGCTGGGTGTGGTCCCCGCTACTCAGAAAGGTGAGGCAGGAGAATTACTTGAACCCGGGAGGCAGAGGTTGCAGTGAGCTGAGATCACACCACTGCACTCCAGCCTGGGGTACAGAGGCTCCATCTCACACACACAAAAAGAAAAAAAAAAAAAAAAAAGAAATTGCACACATCACCTAATCCCCTCTAGTTTCACTTCTTTTTTTTTTTTGAGAGGGAGTCTCGCTGTTTCCCAGGCTGCAGTGCAATGGCATGATCTTGGCTCACTGCAACCTCTGCTTCCCTGGTTCAAGTGATTCTTCCACCACAGCCTCCCGAGTGACTGGGATTACAGGCACCCAAAATCATGCCGGGCTAATTCTTGTATTTTTAGTAGAGACAGGGTGACAGGGTTTCATCATGACCTGGCCAGGTTGGTCTTAAACTCCTGACCTCAGGTAATCTGCCCGCCTCAGTTGCCCAAAGTGCTGGGATTATAGGCGTGAGCCACCATGCCTGGCCTAGTTTCCCTTTTAAGTATTTGCACATCCCAGTATCAGCTCCTGGGCTAACCCTCCACATGTGTTTTACAGCAGTTAACAGACATGACAACAACTCCCTATAACTCATGTCACTGACCTAGGTTTGGGGTTTGAGGTTTTTCCAAGATCCCCAGATCGGAAGACTGGAGAAATGGCACTTAATCCTAGAAAGTGCAGTGGTTCACGCCTGTCAGCCCAGCACTTTGGGAGGCCGAGGCAGGAGGACTGCTTGAGCCCAAGAGTTCCAGACCAGCCTCGGCAACATGGCAAAACCCCCTTCTCTACTAAAAATACAAAAATTAGTCAGTTACTCGGGAGACTGAGATGGGAGGATCACCTGAGCCCGGGAAGGTCGAGGCTACATTGTGATCACTGCACTCCAGGCCGGGTGTCAGAGTGAGACACTGTCGCCAAAGGAAAAAAGACAGCTCTTCTCTAAACTGGTTATTTAAAATCTATACAATAAAATAAAATAACACCAAGATCTAGACATGTGGGTGAGGGACTAGAGCATCCCCTACTTTCCTTCTGTGGGTTTCTTAAGTGCTTCCATAGCCATGAATTGTGCCCAAAATCAGGGCTTTCATAAGTGTGTCCCTCCTGGGATTTGACAGATTCAGGATTCTCTGTAAGCTTTTTTTGGCCCTGGAGCCAGATGACATCAGGCTGAGTGAGTCTCTGCGGCCCAGTGCTCAATGTCACCTTTTACCAGATAAGTAACCTTGAGCAGTTTCAACCTCTCAATGCTTCAATGTTCTCATCACCGCCTTTCACTCTGTTCTTCCTCTGAACATCTTTTGAGAATCTTTTTTTTTTTTTTTTTTTTTTTTGTTTTGAGATGGAGTTTCGCTCTTGTTACCCAAGCTGGAGTGCAATGGCACGATCTCGGCTCACCGCAACCTCCGCCTCCTGGGTTCAGGCAATTCTCCTGCCTCAGCCTCCTGAGTAGCTGGGATTACAGGCACGCGCCACCACGCCCAGCTAATTTTTTTTTTTTTTTTGTATTTTTAGTAGAGACGGGGATTCACCATGTTGACAAGGATGGTCTCGATCTCTTGACCTCGTGATCCATCTGCCTCGGCCTCCCAAAGTGCTGGGATTACAGGCTTGAGCCACCGCGCCCGGCCATCTTTTGGGAATCTTACCCTAACACAGATTAACTCCTTTGATCAAAATTGTCCATGGCTTCTAGCGTCCCCACAGTCAAAGTTCAACTCTCAACCTGGTACTGGAGAAATAACTCAGCCGGGCATGGTGGCGCATGCCTATAATCCTAGCTACTCAGGAGACTGAGGCAGGAGAATCACTTGAACCCGGGAAATGGCGGTTGCAGTGAGCCAAGGTCGCGCCAATGCAATCCAGCCTCGGAGACAGAGATTCTTGTCTTAAAAAACAAACAAACAGCCGGGCGCGGTGGCTCAAGCCTGTAATCCCAGCACTTTCGGAGGCCGAGGCGGGTGGATCACGAGGTCGAGAGATCGAGACCATCCTGGTCAACATGGCGAAACCCCCTCTCTACTAAAAATACAAAAAACTAGCTGGGCATGGTGGCGCGTGCCTGTAGTCCCAGCTACTCAGGAGGCTGAGGCAGGAGAATTGCCTGAGCCCGGGAGGCGGAGGTTGCGGTGAGCCGAGATCGCGCCATTGCACTCCAGCCTGGGTAACAAGAGCGAAACTCCGTCTCAAAAACAAACAAACAAACAAACAAACAAAACCAAAAAACTCCGCAATACATAAATGAAAGAGCTCCGCTTCACACTTTGTTCCCAGTACAAACAAGATGTTCCCGAATTCCGAATCCTCCTGGCTCACTCCACGCCTCCAGGCCTTTGCCCGCGCCGGACCCTAGGCCAGGCTCGCGCCCCGCGCCGGACCCTAGGCCAGGCTCGCGCTCACCACCGTATCAACGTGGGAGTCGGAAACAGGGATCCCACCCTCCGGCGCCTCTCTGTCCCCGACGGAGGCCTGGACTGCAGAGACGCGAGGAGGCGCCCCTCACGAGCAGGGGCCTCAAGGTCTGAGTGGGCAGGGTGGGTGCGGCCCAGAGGTCGCAGCGCTCACCTGAGCCGGTGCCCTCAGAGCGGCCGCCGCCATGACTCTGCGGGCGGGCGGGGAGGCGGGATCGGCGAGGTTCCTGTCCTTGTCCCGTCCCTGGTCGCGACCGACGGCGTCGCCGAGCCGCAGCTCCGCCTGTGTGCAATGGGCACAACCACTCCTCTCGAGCTCATCCAGCATAGCTGGATGGACCCCACAGGCCAGAACAGCTGCCACGGCTAGGACGCCGCAAGTCCCGGCTTGGTGTTACGTGCCCCGGTAATGGCGCGCTTCTCTGAAGCTTCATTGGCTTAGCCAGGCTTCCGTTCCACAGAGAGGATTCTGGGTAATGTAGTTCCCGAAGATGGGCAGCCCTCAAGGTCGCCCGCAATCCAACTTTCGGAAGGGCCAAACTCCACTGCTAGGAGCGCTAGGAAGTGGCGACTCCAGGTCCAGATGCAGAGGAGGGGATCCTGTCTTAGAAGAGGCCATACTTCGCCAGGCGCGGTGACTTACGCCTGTAATCCCAGCACTTTCGGAGGCCGAATCATGAGGTCGAGAGATTGAGACCATTCTGGCCAACATGGTGAAATTCCGTGTCTACTAAAAATACAAAAATTACCTCGGCGTGGTGGCGCGCGCCCCCGTAAGCCCAGCTGCTCAAGACGCTGAGGCGAAAGAATCGCTTGAACCCGGGAGGCGGAGGTTGCAGTGAGCCGAGATTGTCCCACTGCACTGCCTAAAATTAGGGACCCTAAGAGCCTACTTGGTGCTCTACCCTACTGTAACCAAACTGGTATCTAAGGTGTAAGGCAAAGTCTTTCTTCTTTTTCTTCATTTATTTATTTATTCCGGAAGCCGCTTCCAAGCTCGTGCAGCCAGCAGGGGGCGGCTGGCTGTCTTCTTTACTCTTCCTTTTCTCAAGCAGGAGCCACTCCTGAAAGCCATCACAGCTAGCAATGTGCTGGGTCACACTCGAAGCCATCATGTCTGAGTCTCACCAATGGCACATGGTGAGTACTACCTGTGTGCCACTGCTGATTATTCAGGGCCCAATGATTCTTTAGTCAGCAGATGATGAATCCTGCCAGGACTGAAGCCTAAAGTGAGTTCTCCTCCAGCCCTGGGTCTATGTAGAAATGCCATTCAGAGCTAGGGCCTAGAATAGGGGCCTTAGCATAGTGTCCTACCCTACTGTAGCTGAGCTGGTGCCAAGTTCCAAGACAAGGTCTTTTCTAACCTTCCGTCTCCTCTCTGACTGGAGGGAAGGAGTCTCTCCTGGAAATGTGAGCTGTGCTCCCTGAGGTTGGGTGAGGGGTATACATGTTCACCTACCATGTGAGTTGCGCACTACACACCAGGGAATTAACACAAGAGAAATAAAACATTATTTATATGAAGAACTGCATTCAAATGTGTGTAACAAGCAGTTTTATTTCTAACAGACAAAAACATGAAGAAATAATATATCCATAAGCCGTATATACAGTGATTTTTTATAGCATGTCATATTCTAAGATAAAAAGAATGAACTACTTATATCATGATTGATGAATGTCAAAATATATATTCCTGCTATGCGAAATAATAAAAAAAATAAAAAAGAACATCAAAATAAATAGGACTCAGGAGAGTACTCAGGTATGACAAGATGAAACATGTTAGTCATATAAAATTCCAGAAAATTGACACTAATCTATTGTTAAGCAAATATTATAATTCAGTGATTGTTTGGAGGATGGTGAGGCCAAAAAGACAGTATTTTTTTGTTTTTAAGAAACAGGGTCTAACTACGGGACCCAGGCTAGTCTCAAACTCCTTACCTCAAGCAATACTCCCACCTTGGACTCCTAAAGTGTTGGGATAACAGGCATGAGTCACTATGCCCAGTCTTATTACAGTTTTAAAAATTTAATTTCAAAGACCTTTCTGGATTTAACAGTATTTTTGACAAATAGGTTATGCAATTCTACACTGACTCTACTAACTCTCATCACACTCTAAGAGGGGCAACTAAACTGTGTGACAACAAATACTTATGAACCAGGAAGACCATTTCCACCTGATTAAACTGGAATGCTGGCTGGTTGCAAAGGACTTATCAGTAGACTAAGAGATTTCCCTCTCCCTATCCTCTTCCTCCTAATAATTCAGGGATGGGTTTTTGGTAAGCAGCCCAGATAGGCTATAGAAATCCACAAAACCTTTAGATTTACTGACAATTGCCTAAGCTACACTAGATTCCTAATTACAGAGGTTGTGAAAATTTCTGTACCCGCTTGTCCATCACAGACATAGCAACTGAGTCACTGTGGATACCTTTTTTAAAAAACTATATTCCAACTATTCTGTCACAGTCTGCTTGATTACCTAGAAATACTAATTCTATAAAAATTATTTGTGGGCGGGCATGGTGGCTCACACCTATAAGCGCAGTGCTTTCGAGGACATATGCTAGAGGATTGCTTGAGGCCAGGAGTTCAACATCAGTCAGTGTAAAATAGCAAAACTCTATCTCTACAAAAAATTCTTAAATTACCTGGGCTAATCTCAGGTACTCGGGAGGCTGAGGCAGGAGGATCACTTGAGCCCAGGAGTTTGAGGCCGCAGTGAAGTATGACCATGCCAGTGCATTCCAGCCTGAGTTCCAGTGACATCATGTCCCTAAAAAAATAAAAATTAAAAGATTATGATTTCTTCCTCCAGGTTTATAATGTAGGACACTATCCTACAGAATTCTGGACTTCAGGACACATGAATGCACTGCAGGACTCCAGAACTGATTTCTTTCACCAGTACTGAGCATAATACACTATTCCTTGTAAACTAGAGAATAATTTTGTGCTGTTCTCAGAAGCGCTACAGTGTTACAAAAAAAAAAAAAATGAAAACATGAATTATTGCACTATTTGGTCTAAAAATAAAGCCCACAAAGCCCTGAAGTCTTTCTTTGGAGGCCTTAAGACAGCCATCCAAACTAGGCCACAAATGCAGAGCTATATTCTGCTTTCATACTGTCCCCTCAGAGTCACACATACTGCCCACATAGAGTCACAAAAGCTGTTCAACCCTTCATGGTACCAGAACCATGTAGTATCCAAACCACACAAAGCAATGAATAAATAATTCACACAATACAGTGAATACAATTCTCAACATTGAAGGAAGCTTAAACAAGAACTTCATCACAGCAGAAACTGGAACGAGAGGCAGGTTGTGCTTGAGTTGCTCAGTTAGAGGCTGCAAAAATCCATCTTAAGAATCATGAGAATCACAAGATTCCTAGGAAAGCCAACCCATCTTGTCAGGTAATCAAAAAAATTCTTTAGGCCAAGTTTATCCAACTGCAGCTTGTGGGCCGAGTGTGTCTCAGGACAGCTTTGAATGAAGCCCAACTCAAATTTGTAAACTTTCTTAAAACATTATGATGGTTTTTTGTGATTTTTTTTTTTTTTTTTTTTTTTTTTTTGAGACAGAGTTTCGCTCTTGTTACCCAGGCTGGAGTGCAATGGTGCAATCTTGGCTCATTGCAACCTCCACCTCCTGGGTTCAGGCAATTCTCCTGCCTCAGCCTCCTGAATAGCTGGGATTATAGGCATGCGCCACCATGCCCAGCTAATTTTTTTTTTTTTCATTTTTAGTAGAGACGGGGTTTCACCATGTTGACCAGGATGGTCTCGATATCTTGACCTCATGATCCACTCGCCTCAGCCTCCCAAAGTGCTGGGATTACAGGCTTGAGCCACCGCGCCCGGCCGGTTTTTTGCAATTTTTAAAAAGCTCATTAGCAGCCGGGCGCGGTGGCTCAAGCCTATAATCCCAGCACTTTGGGAGGCCGAGGCGGGTGGATCACGAGGTCAAGTTTGAGACCAGCAAAAAAATTAGCTTGGCATGGTGGCACACACCTGTAATTCCAGCTATTCGGGAGGCTGAGGCAGGGGAATTGCTTGAATTAGGGAGGTGGAGGTTGCAGTGAGCTGAGATCATGCCACTGCACTCCAACCTTGGTGACAGTGAGACTCCGTCTCAAAAAACAAAATAAGTAAAAAATAAAAATACAAAAATTAGCTGGGCATGGTGGCGTGTGCCTGTAATCCCAGCTACTCAGGAGGCTGAGGCAGGAGAATTGCCTGAACCCAGGAGGCGGAGGTTGCGGTGAGCCGAGATCGTGCCATTGCACTCCAGCCTGGGTAACAAGAGCGAAACTCCGTCTAAAAATAAAAAATAAAAAAATAAAAATAAAAAGAGAAATCAGAAAGGAACGAGTGCAGAGGCTACTCAAAAATCCCACTGCTGAATGGTAAACCACTGAACTTTTTTTCTGGAATATGATGGAGTGCATGAGTGAGACACTATGGGCACCAGCAACGTGGTAGAGGTAAAATGGCTTTTGCCAGAAACCTAACTGAAATCTGGCAAGGGACATACGCAAAATGAGAAATGCAATACAGCTCCCATATACCTGGAATTTATGCAGCTACTGGACGTATGACATTCAGTACAGGTTGATGGTATCCTCATTAAGTGCTCTCTCCCAGAGTTACACTGGACAAGAAGTAATATTCCTGTACATCTATTGTATTTTTCTTCTGTCAACATTCTGGCATCCAATGAAAGAAGAGTAAAGCCTTCATCAAACTCTTTGCACTCAAAAGGCACTTCCACAGCAGGAGCTTGTCTGTGCATAATAAAGCTAGACATTTAGATAAAGAATGTGCCACATTTGTCATACCATAAACCCTTGATGCAGTGTGAACTCTGATCCTGAAGTCATACAGGTTTGACTAAACAATTTTCCAAATTTACTTCACTGAGAAGGGCTTTCTCTAATGTCAACTCACAGGGCAGAGCTTCTGGTAAATGTCTTTCCACATTTGCTACACTGTTAAGCCTTTTTCTAGTATGAACTCTCCTGTGTTTAATGAGACCAGAGTTTTCCCACAAAGGATTTTCTACTCGAAGCTCTCATAAGGCTTTGTCCAGTGTGAACTCTTATGAACATGGTGTGCAGAGCTGTAGGAAAATGATTTCTGACATTTATATGGCCTTTCTCCATTGTGAATGTTCTATGGATAGTAAGTAATGCAGCTCTTCTGGCTAATTTCACAAATTCCTTACAGTCATATGGCCTTTCTCAACTGTGAACTCCCGTGTTCAGTGAGGGGGTACTTAAGTAATTTCCCAAATTCCCCATAACTATAAGGTCTTTGTCCAGTGTGACTCCTTTGCTATTTACTGAGGTAAAACTTCTATGTACTGGATTTCATACATTCTCTATACTCACAAGGCGTTTATCCATTGTGATCTTGCTATTGTTGAATAAGGCCAATTTTTTGACTAGATTTTGGACATTCTCCACACTCATAAGCTCTTTCCAGTGTGACTGCACTGACGTTGAATGAGGGTGCCCTTTTTACCAGTAGATTTGCCAAATTTTCAACATTCATGATGTCTTTCTCCTGTGTGAACTCGTTGATGTTTAATGAGGTTTCCCTTTTGACGAAAACACTTCCCACATTCTCGACATTCATGTGGCCTTTCTCCTGAGTGAATCTGCTGATGTCGAATGAGGCTGCCCTTTTGATGAAAACATTTCCCACATTCTCCACATTCATGTGGCCTTTCTCCAGAGTGAATCTGCTGATGCTGAATGAGACTGCCCTTTTGATGAAAACATTTCCCACATTCTCTACATGCATATGGCCTTTCTCCAGTGTGAACTCTCTGGTGTTCGGTGAGGTGTGACTTGTACCTAAATGACTTCCTACATTCTTTACACTCATAGGGTCTTTCTCCAGTGTGAACTCTCTGATGTTCCTTTAGGTGGGAGTTGCTCCTAAATAATTTCCCACATGCCATACACTCATAAGGCCTTTCTCCAGTATGAACTCGCTGATGTTGAATGAGGTTGCACTTGTGATTAAACGATTTTCCACATTCTCCACACTGATAAGGTTTTTCTCCAGTGTGAACTCGCTGGTGGTGAACAAGGCTGCGCTTATGGCTAAAAGATTTCCCACATTCATCACATTCATAAGGTCTTTCTCCAGTGTGAACTCGCTGATGGTCAACAAGACTGTGCTTATGACTAAAAGATTTATCACATTCTCTACACTCATAAGGTCTTTCTCCAGTGTGAACTCTCTGGTGTTCAGTGAGGTGGGCCTTATACCAAAATGATTCATCACACTGTCCACACTGATAAGGTTTTTTTCCAGTGTGAACTCCCTGATGATTATTGAAACTATTACTTTTGCTAACAAATTTCCCAGAATCACTGCACACATAAGGTCCTTCTCTAGGGAGAAGTGTCTGGTGAAGAGCAAGTGAGTGTTTGTTGCTGAAGGGTACTGTGGACTCTCCACAGATGTAATGAGTTTTTCCACCCTGAAAGGGTGTCCCATGTTTAGTTTCAATATTTGACTTCCCTGAAGTGTGAATGTCCTCTTGTTGGAATAATCTCAAGCTAGACAAAAAGTCTTTCCCAACTTCATGAAAGATAAATGGCTCTTGTAACACATGGAATTTACAGTTCTTTACAAATGATGTTTCCTTGGCATTGCTTCTGTATGATTTCTCTCCAAAGTGCTGCTTCTGATCTTGATAATGGTTTGCACTGTCATCTAATTTTTTTTCACATGCCCCAAAACTATTCAATTTCTGATTGTGTTGTGTTCTCTGGTGTAAGATATCTCCCAGGAGAGGGCCACATACTCCCCAGGGGTGGGCCTTCTTTGTACATACTCCTGTCCAATGTGACCTGAGGGGAGACTGCTGTTGTATAGAAAGGGTCTGCTTAGAAGGTGTCTCGTCTTTTGCTCCATACCAACAACCTAAAAGAAAGAAAATGCTGGTAAAATGCAAGCTTCTGAAGGGAAGTACCTGCAAGTATTTCCATGGAGTAATATTTCTGTTTGTAAGATACACTTGTTTGTGACAAGTTTATCTAACAAACAGAGGTATTACTCCATGGAAATAATTGCAGGAACCGAATGTTGCCTTTAGTTTGAAGGTAAGGCTTCTTCATATTACTAGGTTAGAATGGTAACAAAATGCAGGGGGCCACATGATGTGAAGGAACCAACAATACGTGCACTACAGGGAGTAGAGGCAGGGGCTACAATTCCTTCCTATGCAAACATCTAAAGGACTTCTATAAAGCATGTGGGTGATATATAAAAGGATTCATCTAGGCCAAAGAAAATATGAGTATAACAAAGCAGCTGTTGGTCACGTATGGCTTAGCAATGTGTGCACACTTCCCAATACTAAACTGATATGCCAGTACTGGAGTCCACTGCAGATCGAAATGTGAGGAAAATGGGTGATAGGTGGAATCCAGAGATGTGAAGATTAGTCCTGAGCTGGCATCAGAGTAGAAGTGACAGGGTATAGAATGGTGATGTCGGAAACTCTCAAGAATGGGGAAGACAGAGATAGCATATGGCTAGTCATGTTGCCAGGTAAATACTAGTGAAATAGAATAGCTTCCGGTATTACTTTCCTAAATCCATGATGTTATGTCTTCCTCCAGGGTGTTACTCCTCACTCTGAGCCCACCATGCTAAACCTTGATTTAACTGCAACTTCTGAAACACTAAGGACTCCAAATCCCACTGCAAAGATATACATGGAATTTACATGGGAAATGGATGATGTAAAGAATAACAGAGCCAGGCACAGTGGCTCAAGCCTGTAATCCCAGCACTTTGGGAGGCTGAGGCAGGTGGATCATGAGGTCAAGAGATCGAGACCATCCTGGTCAACATGGTGAAACCCCGTCTCTACTAAAAATACAAAAAAAAATTAGCTGGACATGGTGGCGCGTGCCTGTAATCCCAGCTACTCAGGAGGCTGAGGCAAGAGAATTGCCTGAATCCAGGAGGCGGAGGTTGCGGTGAGCCGAGATCGCGCCATTGCACTCCAGCCTGGGTAACAAGAGCAAAACTCCATCTCAAAAAAAAAAGAAAAAAAAAAAAGAGAGAATAACAGAGGCTAGGCGCAGTGGCTCACGCCTGTAATCCCAACACTTTGGGAAGCTGAGGCACGCAGATCACAAGGTCAGGAGTTCGAGACCAGTCTGGCCAACATGGTGAAACACCATCTCTACTAAAAAAAATTAGCCAGGTGTGGTGGCGGGTGCCTATAATCCCAGCTACTGGGGAGGCTAAGGCAGAAGAATCACTTGAACCCGGGAGGCAGAGTTTGCAGCAAGCCAAGATATCGTCTCCATTGTACTCCAATCTGGGTGACAGGGTGAGACTCTGTCTCAAAAAATAAAATAAAAATAAAAGAAAGACAAAAAAGAAGAACAGCCAAACAGCCAACAATAGTTCAGAAAAAATCAGCACCTGGTAGCCCATAGGAAAGGAAACTACATATTACAAAGTGAATTTTTGGCCAGGTGCAGTGGCTCACACCTATACCCAGCACTTTGGGAGGTCAAACTGACAGGATTGCTTGAGCCTAGGAGTTCTAAACCAATCTGGGTAACATAATGAGACACCATCTCGACAAAACAAACAAACAAAAATTATTTGGGCAGGGTGACATGCTCCTGTAGTCCCAGCTACTTAGGAGTCAGATGGATGGATTACTTGAGCCCAGAAGGTTGAGAATGCAGTGAGCCATGAATGCATCACTAGACTACAGCATGGATGACAGTAAAACCCTATCAAAATAAATAAAGATCAGGGCACAGCAGCTCATGCTTGTAATCCTGGCACTTTGGAAGGATGAGGTGGGAGGATCAGGTGAGGTCAGGAGTTGGAGACCAGCCTGGACAATACAGTCAAGACCTCATCTCTATTAAAAATAAAGGGCGCAGTGGCTCACGCCTGTAATCCGAGCACTTTGGGAGGCCGAGGCAGGTGGATCACAAGGCCATCTTGGTCAACAAGGTGAAACCCCGTCTCTACTAAAAATACAAAAAATTAGCTGGGCATGGTGGCGCATGCCTGTAATCCCAGCTACTCAGGAGGCTGAGGCAGGAGAATTGCCTGAACCCAGGAAGCGGAGGTTGCGGTGAGCCGAGATCGCGCCATTGCACTCCAGCCTGGGTAACAAGAGCGAAACTTCGTCTCAAAAATAAATAAATAAATAAATTAAATAAAATAAAAATAAAAATAAATAAAATAAAAAAATAAAAAAAGTAAAAATAAAAAAAATTTGTAAGATGTGGTGGGAGGCCGAGGCGGGTGGATCACGAGGTCGAGAGATCGAGACCATCCTGGTCAACATGGTGAAACCTCGTCTCTACTAAAAATACAAAACATTAGCTGGGCGTGGTGGCGCATGCCTGTAATCCCAGCTACTCAGGAGGCTGAGGCAGGAGAATTGCCTGAGCCCAGGAGGCGGAGGTTGCGGTGAGCCAAGATCGCGCCATTGCACTCCAGCCAGGGTAACAAGAGCGAAACTCTGTCTCAAAAAAAAAAAAAAAAAAAAAAAACAAGATGTGGTGGCAGAAGCCTCTAGTCCCAGTTACTCCAGAGGCTGAGGAAGGAGGATTGCTTAAGCCTGGGAGATGAAGGCTACAGTGAGCTATGATTGCACCACTGCCCTCTAGCCTGGGTTACAGAGTAAGACATTAACTTTGAAAATAAAACAGTATAAAACAAAACAAACAAGATACTTTAAAGAAGTGTCTTGCAAGAACAGCCTATGGTGCATGTAAGTATTGAGAAGATCAGTGACCGGAGGTATTCCTGGCACAGGCAGTCATAAACAAACATCACCTCGAGCAAGGAAGCAGAACCTGAGCATACCAGAGTCTTGGAGCTGCAAAACTTACCCAACAGGCAGAGGGCAAGCAAGATGGGATGCATTATGGTGCCTGTAAAGCTCCTTCTCTGGAAGCTTCCAGCAAAGCAGGTGTTGGGGCTGCTGAAGGAGAATAGAGGGCAGTACACACACTGGAGTCCTACCTACCACAGAAAGAACCTACCCAGGGAACTAATAGAGGAACCTGTGCCCAGGTTCTTGAAGTAAGGAAAATAGTCTTGCCACGGGGAAAAAAAAAGAGGAAGGGCAGACACTAGCTGACGTCACAGAAGAGTATGAGGGCTTACCTAGAGAAGATATAAGTGTCAGGTTCTCCAGCATCACGTCATGATAAAGGCATCTCTGAGCCTCACTAAGGAGACTCCATTCCTCCTGGGAAAACTTCACAGCCACATCTTCAAAGGTCACAGTGCCCTGCCACGATAATGACAGATGAAACCACAAACGCCCCATATGCTCATCCACTTATCCTCCCTTGCCTTTCCTCCTCCCAAGGTCCTGAACTACAAGGAGAAACTAGGTCCACTGGTGTCACTGTCTTCTCATGGGCTCACTAGGCATGTTGCACAGGCATCAGCAACAAGAAGTGGGTGAACCAATAGGTTTCTATGTTTTGGTACCGACATAAAGCAGTTCATACCTCCTGATAGCCAATACCCCTGCTAGAGATGAAGTCATATAAATTCCAATGCAGCACCCTGAGTCTATCAGACATACTCCCCTCTAAATACACATCATTCATTCCCTTTTTTTTTTCTTTGAGATAGCGTTTCATTTCCATTGCCCAGACTGGAGTGGAATGACATGATCTCAGCTCACTGCAACCTCCGTCTCCTGGACTCAAATAATTCTCTGGCCTCAGCTTCCCAAGTAGCTGGGACTATACGTATGTGCCACCATGCCTGGCTTTTTTTTTTTTCTTTTTTTTTTTTTGTATTTTTGGTTGACAGAAGGTTTTGCCATGCTGCCCAGGTTGGTCTCAAAATCCTGAGCTTGAGTGATTCACCCACCTCAGCCTCCCAAAGTGCTGGGATTACAGGCATGAGCCACCGTGCTAAGCCAAAATATATATCATTCTTTAGATTGCACAGACATATGCCCATGGTCACCCCCACCAAACTGCCTCTCATGTTTGCCTCTCTCTGCCTACCCACAAGTATATTTATACCCTCTTCTTCCTTCTACGAGTAAGAGCAGGATTTTTATGTTAGTTATATTAATGACCAAACACATGACATCAAACACTAGACTGATGCTATAAATATGTTTAAAAATCAAATAGGCCGGGCGCGGTGGCTCAAGCCTGTAATCCCAACACTTTGGGAGGCCAAGGCGGGTGGATCACGAGGTCAAGAGATCGAGACCATCCTGTTCAACATGGTGAAACCCCGTCTCTACTAAAAATACAAAAAACTAGCTGGGCATGGTGGCGCCTCCCTGTAATCCCAGCTACTCAGGAGGCTGAGGCAGGAGAATTGCCTGAACCCAGGAGGCGGAGGTTGCGGTGAGCCGAGATCGCACCATTGCATTCCAGCCTGGGTAACAAGAGCGAAACTTGTCTCAAAAAAAAAAAAAATCAAATATACTCAAAGTCTGGCAGAGGACACCCCTCAACATAGAGGACCACATGGAAGGTGCACTATGGATAAGAGTGAGTAACCAGAAACTATGCTATGCAAGCTTTTAAAATGTAGAGGGCGTGATGACCTCAAGTCCCTTGGGAGGACACAACTGGCTTGTTTGAATAACACTGTGGGTAAGGATAAAATTGGAACTGGGCCGGGCGCGGTGGCTCAAGCCTGTAATCCCAGCATTTTGGGAGGCCGAGGCGGGTGGATCACAAGGTCAAGAGATCGAGACCATCCTGGTCAACATGGTGAAACCTCGTCTCTACTAAAAATACAAAAAAAGTAGCTGGGCATGGTGGCACATGCCTGTAATCCAAGCTACTCAGGAGGCTGAGGCAGGAGAATTGCCTGAACCCAGGAGGTGGAGGTTACGGTGAGCCGAGATCGTGCCATTGCACTCCAGCCTGGGTAACGAGTGAAACTCGGTCTCAAAAAAGAAAAAACTGAAACTCACTACAAACTATAATAAGCAGAAATTCTACCTGGTCTCCCTAATGAAAGGATTATTAGGCCATGCCGATAATTATACAAAAGAGCCCAGTGGAAAGGGAACTGGCTATCAGGCCACTTGAGGTCATACCAATATCACTGGATATCAAAGTGGCACATCATACTGGTCCTCCATTTTTGCCTCTATACCACAATATGCCTGACAGCACCAAATATGCTTCACATATTCAAAAAGGATCCAATAATAACACAAAATGACCACGGTTCCCATTAGCAGTGTTAGTCCCTAATAATTCTATGAATGTCTCCTTGCATGACTCCACAGCCACCCAAAACACATGTAACTTCAGATATCCATGGTCTTATTCTTCTTCTGCTGTGCTGCACTGGCTTACTCTTCAGCAACATGGACCATCTTTTTTTTTTCTTTTTTCTTTTTTTTTTTTTGAGACAGAGTTTCGCTCTTGTTACCCAGGCTGGAGTGCAATGGCGCGATCTCGGCTCACCGCAACCTCCGCCTCCTGGGTTCAGGCAATTCTCCTGCCTCAGCCTCCTGAGTAGCTGGGATTACAGGCAGGCGCCACCATGCCCAGCTAATTTTTTGTATTTTCAGTAGAGACGGGGTTTCACCATGTTAACCAGGATGGTCTTGATCTCTTGACCTCGTGATCCACCCACCTCGGCCTCCCAAAGTGCTGGGATTACAGGCGTGAGCCACTGCGCCTGGCCTTATTTTTTTTAATTTTTATTTTCTAACTTGGAACATCTTACATTAACCTAATACCACTGACATTTAAAGACCAGTGCTAAACAGGGACAACAGCATTTTGGGAAGTGGCTCCTTGCATTTTGGGAGGCTGAGGTGAGTGGATTGTGAGCAAGGTCAGGAGTCTGAGACTAGCCTGGCCAATATGGTAAAACCTCATCTCTATTTAAAATTAAAAAAAAAAAATGAGCCTGGCATGTGGCACGCACCTGTAATCTCAGCTGCCAGGAGGCTGAGGCAGGAGAATCACTTGAACCTGGGAGGCGGAGGTTTTGGTGAGCCAAGATTGTGTCACTGCACTCCAGCCTGGGCAATGGTGCAAGACTCTGTCAAAAAAAAAAAAAAAAAAAAAAAAAACAGTCCTGTTTTTAATCCATTCAAGGCCCAAGACTTACTGACGGTTACAAATGACCATATGTCTCCCTGAGCATATTCAGCAGGCCTAACAAAACTCCCCACGCACTACTAAAGTCATCACAAATCTTGATTGCATAGAGTGATGAATAAGCATCACTGTGGCCTACGTGTCATCTTCCCTCAATTTGACTTCTTCATGTATCTATTTCATGTCTATTCTCTCCTTGAAAGTCTATGTCCCCTGGCAAACGAAGCTGTCAGGTATACTTTACCATCATAGTCACATACCTGCCTCTCCAGTGTTTAGGAAACCCAATAACATTACCTAGGGACCCAAGCAACGGATGCTGTCCTCTTCATTCAACCACTGCTTTCTGGTCCCCTAAGACATTTACTACCAGAATCTTAAGTGTGCTCTCCTTAGCGTGACCCATGGCTCACACACCATAGCACACATTAGCTACCATATATTAGATGTCTCCAGTATCAATCCCTTCCCAGATACCCCAACCTGTATGTCCAATTACGCATTTGATGCCAACACTTACTCGTCTCCGACTCTTCACACGGCCAAAAGTCATCTTGATATCTCATAATATTCTAATTATGTCTACTACCAACATGCTCATCTCAGTTGATGCAGCTTCCATAGCTACAGCTGCTAAGACCAAAAACCCTGGGTTCCCGATTGCTCTTTTCATGCCCTTACTTTGCATATTAGGAAATCTAGATGCTTGAATACAGCCACATCTCAGCTATAAATACAGTCCGTTAACCTTCACTTGGATTATAGCAAGAGCCTCAACTCTCATCTTACTTCCTCCTCCCTCAAGCCCAGTCTGTTCTCCAGTGTAGAGCCAGAGATTACAGCCAGATGAAACTGTGGCAACACCACCTCCTCCCTCTGGTCAGTTTCACCTCTAAGCATTTCACATCCTGGTACCAACTCCTGAGTTAACCTCCCAAGTATGTTTATACTGTTTGACAGACATGGGAATAACCTCCATATATCCTGTGTCACAGATTTGGGATCCTGGGTTTAAGGTTTCTCCAGGGCTACTAGATCAAAAAACTAAAAGGAAATGGTACCTAAGGATACCCCATATGCTCAAAGAGCATGTAGATGGGAGTTAGGGCCAGTGAGGGAATGAAACAACCTCAGTTTCCCTGTGAAGGTTCTACAAGTGCTTCTGTAGCCAGGAGTGCCCGAGAGGAGAGGCACAAGCTACAGGAATGTGTCCCTGATGGGATTTGATAAGCTCAGGCCTCCCTGAACCCTTTCTTGGCCCTGTAACCAGCTAAACGCGGGTTGGTTGTCTGAACTGAATGCCTCAATACAAAATGTCATCTCTTAGCATCTATGTGATCTACAGAGGTTAAACAAGAATTCAACCTCTCACGGCCCGAAAATCATCCCCTTTGTTCTTTCTTTGATTGGACTTTGGGAAACCTTTAAAGCCTGGACTTTGATCTTGTCCTTCCTTTGCTGGAAGCTGTCCATGGCTTCTAACGTTCTCAGGATGAATGCACAGTCCCCAGCCTAATCTTCCAGGAGAAGCTCTGCCTTACACTTTGCTCCCGACAGGTGCCTGTGGACCCTGGGTTCCGATCCTCCCGGCTCAGTTCATCTCCAGACCTTTGCCTACACTGGTCCCTGTGCCTGTCGCTCTCCTCACCGCGTCCCGCGAGCGCCTCAGCGTCCCGACGCCAGGTTCAGGCTGTAAAGCCTTGAGCAAGCGCCGCCTGCTAGCTGCTTTTGGACTTAGGTAAAGATGAGGTGACCTGAGGGCACGGAAGACGCCACAATTACCTGAGCCGAGAGCCTCAGCTCGGCCGCCGCCATCAGACTGGGTGGGGAAAGCGGGTTCGGGAGGAGGTGGCGAGCAGGGCAGGTACCCGGGGACTGTGGTCCAGATCCCGACGTTGGCGCGGGTCACGCCTAGCGCCTTTAAGGAACCGCAGAGCAGCCGTTGTGCCGCCGAGATAACGTCTCCTCTCCACCTTCTGGGTTCAGTCACTTCTGCCCGATCCAGCGCTCCGAGGTCTCTCACCGGAAAATACACCCAACACCAATCAAAATGGCCACTAGTGGAGGACACCGGAAGTCCCGCCTTTAAATTAGGCGGGCTCGCGGAAACACCTTTATTCTGAGCCTTCATTGGCTCCAACGAGCTGTCATGCGACGTAGAGATTTCTGGGTTATGCAGTTTCCTAAGGTTCCAAGGCAGTAAAGAAGGCACTTCTGCAGGAAAGGTCCAGCTCCACCTCAGCGGTCTGTCCTTAAAGTACGCGTCCTTCTAGGGTAGAGGATAGTCTTACCTAGCCTTAGAACCCGTATTGAGATTTTTGGAAAAAATTTCTTAGAAGTAACTGAGTATGTCAGCCATTAAAAAGAGTGAGATCCAATCATTTGCAACAACAGTCTGAGCCTCAGTTTCCACCTGTGTCGGTAGGGACAGGAACAGCTACCCAGGCATCAGGGTTGAGTGTCTAAGTGTGGGTACTGCAAGGCCGTAAGGGTTTGGGTTGGATGTACCCTGTGTACGGAGGTGTTCTTTGGGATGGGGGACTGGAATATGGGTGGCGGGGCATATTTACCCTCAGTACTGCTGGGACTGCAGTCAGGGATGCTATAGCCACTGTGGGATCTAAGTGAGGGGCAGCCATGCCTCATCCTAAGATTTAGCCCATATCCTGCCGCTGCAGCCTCCCTGGGTCTGTGGACCTCCAGGCTCCCCTGAGGAAATGGGGCTTCTCAGAACCCCCTGATCCAGCACAGTCCCTGAGGGCTTACTCATAGGAAGGAGGGGGCTGCAAAGTGCTGGTATCTGCGTATGGATTCCCCTCTGGAAACTCTGGGCCACTTGCTTGAGTTCTCTGAGCTTCAGGTCTCTGAGTGAGATAGGAAGGTGATGATAGCATTAAACTTGGGCCTGGGAGGGTCAATAAAAGCAACAAAACACACGGAGAACTTACCTGTGCCAGGATTCCAGGGTTTACTTTTTTTTTTTTTTTTTTTTGAGACGGAGTTTTCGCTCTTGTTACCCAGGCTGGAGTGCAATGGCGCGATCTTGGCTCACCGCAACCTCCGCCTCCTGGGTTCAGGTAATTCTCCTGCCTCAGCCTCCTGAGTAGCTGGGATTACAGGCACGTGACACCATGCTCAGCTAATTTTTTGTATTTTTAGTAGAGACGGGGTTTCACCATGTTGACCAGGATGGTCTCGATCCCTTGACCTCGTGATCCACCCGCCTAGGCCTCCCAAAGTGCTGGGATTACAGGCTTGAGCCACCGCGCCCGGCTCCAGGGTTTCCTTATGAGCATTTTAATTCTCAGAGCAACAAGGGGAAGTGGGACCTATTATGTATTGCTGGAAAAATCCAGGATCACAGAATCAAAGTGATTCCCACAGCAGACAAGCTCAGATTCAAAAGGTTGAATTTCAATCTTAGATTCTGGCTTCTGGTTCCAGACCTGGGGAAGTTTAACCCTTTACCACGGTGTGGGAGGCTCTCAGCCTGGAGCAGGCAGACAGTGAGGACAAATGCTCAACTGCTGTTATGCTCTTCTACTTACCCCCTTCCTCTGATGTCTGCTCCACAGTCCTGATGGCACTGCTGCTGTCTGTACTTATCTTCCTCTTGGGAGGCTTTTCTAACAACCACAATTGCATTGTGTGCAAAGGCAATGTCTACCTTTCCCTTAAGCCCAGCACAGAATTTAGCCCTCAGTAGGCCTGTGACTCAGGCATGGGTCTCTCCACACCTTCACCAGCAACTTAGTGTCAGATTCTGATTCTGACAATTTGAAGGTCAAAGTGACGCCCAGCTTTGACTTTTCAGGTGTTGGCGACTATGTGGTTGTAGCCTTAACAATAGGGGGTTACAGACAGTTGGACCTTGCCCAGAGGACCCTGAACCCAGAGGTGATGCTGAAGACTTAGGGACACTGGACTTACTAGACATGACCTCACTTCATTTTTTTCCCCCTCAGAGTTTTGTTTTGATAATTTCATTCTCATGCAGAGGACCCACAGCTTTCTTGATTCTTGGATTGTCAAGAAAGTCACAAGGGCCACCTTCCTTTCTCCCCACAGACCTTGCAGTTTCTGGTCCCACCTCTTCCTGCTTGGTCCCCCTATCAGCATCAGGGTACCTTAAGGGAGAAACAAACCTCCAGGATAAACAACTGATCCTCTACAGTATACTGTTAATAAGCTATGAGGTTTGTACGGCAGGTTAGGTGTATTATATGCATTTTTTGACTTGTATTTTCAACTCACATTGGGCTTCTCCAGGTGTGACCTAATCATAAATTAAGGCATATCTGTAATCTTACAACCAGTGTTGTTATTCTACGATTCCTGAACAGAGCAAATGGTGCCTTTGCAAAACCTAGGGAGGAGATCGCTCTCACCAATACTGAGCATTATACAATACTGTCTGTGAGCAAAAGTATTTCATACTGTTTCTAGGAGTGCTGGAGGTTGTCACAACTGTCCCCGCCTCAGGATGAGCTCCTAGCCTACAAAATATCACGACATTCAGGCTACAAATAAGGACCACAAAGTCCTTTGCTTGGAGAAAATATGTCCTTAGAGGTGTTGGGCAGCAATGCAAACCAAGCCCAAAATGGAGAACTAATTTCTGCCACAGCTCTCTCCCCTCGGGCCCCCAAAGTTCGGGATGCCAAAAGCGATTTCTCCATTGATTCTGGCAGAACTCTATTGTCATTTGAACAGTCTAAAGTAAATAGAATTCTTAAGATTAAAGGTAGCTTAAACAGTAAGGCCTTTATTGTCAAAGAAACCAGAGCAGTCAGCAGCAGGCTTTTCCCCAGGGTGCTGAATGCAGGCTGGAAAATTTCATCATTAAAGTCATGTGAGGCCAACATTATTTCTGAATAAGGCAGTCCATCTTTTCAACTCATCAGAACTCAGATCAAGAACTCCAAACCAAAAATAGGTCAGATCCATGTTCTAACTCATCATAAAAAAAAAAAAAAAAGAAAGAAAAAAAAAGAAAGAGAAGACCGGGCATAGTGTCTCATGCCTGTAACTTCAGCACTTTGGCTCGGTGGATCATCTGAGGTCAGGAGTTCGAGACCAGCCTGGCCAACATGGTGAAACCCTGCCTCTTTTGTAATTATAAAAATACAAAAATTAGCGAGGCATAGTGGCACTTGCTTGTAATCCCAGCTAGTCAGGAGGCTGAGGCAGGAGAATCGCTTGAACCCAGGAGTCAAGTGGTTGCAGTGAGCCAAGATGGTGGCACTGCACTCTAGCCTGGGTGACAGAGGGAGGCTCCATCTCAAAAAAAAAAAAAAAGAAGAAAAAGAAAAGAAAGAGAGCCGGGCGCAGTGGCTCACGCCTGTAATCCCAGCACTTTGGGAGGCTGAGGCGGGTGGATCACTAGGTCAAGAGATCGAGACCATCCTGGTCAACATGGTGAAACCCCATCACTACTAAAAATACAAAACATTAGCTGGGCATGGTGGCGCGTGCCTGTAATCCCAGCTACTCAGGAGGCTGAGGCAGGAGAATTGCCTGAACCCAGAAGGCGGAGGTTGTAGTGAGCCAGGATCGCGCCATTGCACTCCAGCCTGGGTAACAAGAGCGAAACTCCATCTCAAAAAAAAAAAAAAAAAAAAAAAAAAGAGAGAGAAAAGAGTGCTCAGGCTTCTCACAAATCCCTCCAACAAAAGAGAGAATAGATACTTCCTTAAAGCAAATTGAGGTGGGTCAATGATGCTCCTTGTGTGTTCCACCCGGCTGGTAGAAGTCAAATAGCTTGGATTACAATCCTAATAGTGATAAAAATCTCGCAAGAGCCCTGGGCAGATTTGAAAGCACAATTCCTCAAATTCTCCCACATAGCTGGAATGTATGTATGTGGATGTCTGAATGAATGAGGTTCAGGGCCAGGCGCGGTGGCTCAAGCCTGTAATCCCAGCACTTAGGGAGGCCGAGGCGGGTGGATCATGAGGTCAAGAGATCGAGACCATCCTGGTCAACATGGTGAAACCCCGTTTCTACTAATAATACAAAAAAATTAGCTGGGCATGGTGGCACGTGCCTGTAATCCCAGCTACTCAGGAGGCTGAGGCAGGAGAATTGCCTGAACCCAGGAGGCAGAGGCTGCAGTGAGCCGAGATCGCGCCACTCCACTCCAGCCTGGGTAACAAAAGCAAAACTCCGTCTCAAAAAAAAAAAAAAAGAGTAAGGTTCAATTCAGGCAGATGGCACCCTCACTGCATCTCCTCCAATGTTGTTATAGTTAATAAAGAAATAGCACATTCCCAGGACATCTAAGGTGTTTTTCTCATGTGAACTTTGTGATACCTGATAAGGTAAGGCCTTTGGTTGATGGATTTCTCATATTCAACACACCCATAAGGCCCTATTCCAGTGTGAACTTGCTGATGTCGAGTGAGGCCAGAGCTTTTGCTAAAAGATTTTCCACACTGGCCACATTCATAAGGCCTCTCTCCAGTGTGAACTCTCCGATGATCACTGAAATTGGAGCTTCGCCTAAATGTTTTCCCACATTCACTGCACTCATAGGGCCTTTCTCCAGTGTGAACTCTGTGGTGTTTAAGAAGCGCAGACCTTTGGCTAAAGGATTTCCCACATTCATTACAGTCATAAGGCCTTTCTCCAGTATGAACTCTCAGATGTAGAATGAGGCTACAATTATGACTAAATGATTTCCTACATACAGTGCACTCGTAAGGTTTCAATCCAGTGTGAACTTTCTGGTGTTTTATGAGACTGGAATTGTAGGTAAAAAATTTTCCACATTCACCACACTCAAAAGGTCTTTCTCCAGTGTGAACACTATGGTGTTGCAGTAGCGCAGAGCTTTGGCTAAAGGATTTCCCACATTTGCTGCACTCATAAGGCCTTTCTCCAGTGTGAATTCTCTGATGTTGAATGAGGTTGGATCTTTGGCTAAAGGATTTCCCACATTCATTGCATTCATAAGGTCTTTCTCCAGTGTGAATTTTTCGATGGTTATTGAGGCTATAGCTTTGGCTAAAGGATTTCCCACATTCCCTGCACTCATAAGGCCTTTCTCCAGTGTGAACTCTCCGATGTTGAAAGAGATTTGAGCTTTGGCTAAAGGACTTGCCACATTCTCCACACTTA